CAAAATGATGTTTATACTGATTGGATAAAAAAAAATTTCTTTTCAGACTTGCACTTTGTATTTTATGGACCTTTTATCTAAAGAACTACAGAAAATTTTTTGCCCCCACTTGATTCTTCCCGTCTTTCAGCTAGCTGAAGTTATTGCTAATGAAGTTGTGGAATGTAGAAGTCTGTCTGATCTCTATCACCTTCGGTTTGTATCCTTTATTTATTTTAAATAAAAGAGAAACTGAATGGAGTGGACCATTACTAAATAGTAACAAGGCTTTTTGTGACTTACTGGTTTATATTTGTAATGCTTTTTATTTCTTTTTGTTCCTTTTTTATACATTTCAATAGAGTTTTGATGAATTGGCTTGCTTGTGGAATTAAAGCCACTAAGTTTATCTGTTATTAAACATGATCTTCATGGGGAAAGGTGTACAAGATTATGAACTGAAGCCACTTTGATGTTAATAATTTTTGTAATGCCTTATTGTCACCTAACTGAAAAAAGCAAAGTCCAAAATAATTTCAATTAAAGTATTATCTTTTAAGTATTCAAAAGGCAGAGTCCCATGTTGCATCAAAAATGTATTGTCTATAGCTTAAGAACCCAAATAAATATCCCCAATAAGCGCACGCTCTTTTGTAGAGATTTGCCTTTGTGACCAAAATTCTGTTATTTTTATGGATGAGTAGCCCTAAAAGTTTTGATTCAAAAATATTTAATATGCATGCAATGGCAAATTATTGCTGTTTTAGTTACAACATTTCATTGTGCTTTTCTGAAATGTATTGCATAATGTTTGCTTAATAATTAAGTTATAAGCAATAATTGCTTAATTCCTGATAGTTTGTGAAATGCCACAAATTTCACATATTTTTAAAATGCCTGAAACTGATCCCACATACCAGAATAGATAAATATTCATGTATACAAACATATGTTTGTTTATCTGGATTGCCAATTGATTACTGACTTACTGTCTTACAAGACTAAAAGTGATTTACTAATAGGAAATTGATTTGCAGCCAAGCTTTGAAAGACAAATTTTTTTGTTGACTCCTCAAGATTTGTTTTTATTTCATGATATTTTATTTATATCTATGACCTGATTTTTATTTATGATCAGATAGGTGTACATGAATATATTACTCTTTACTCAATAACAGAAAAGTAGGTTAGCACGTACATATATATGGGGTTTTTTTGCATGCTGTAGTGAGACCATATTATAAATATTTTTGTACTTTTACCACATAATTTTTGCTGCTAAATTGGAGAGATACGGGTTTGATAGATGGACTGGGGATACTAGTGGATGCCCCATCATTGGAAGTGTTCAAGGTCAGTTGGACAGGGCTTTGAGCAACCTTTATGTAGTGAAAGATGCCCCTGCCAGTGGCAGGGGGGTTGGACTAGATGATCTTCAAAATGTGCCTTCCATCCCAAACCATTCTATGGTTTTATGACCTCTATCAATGGGTAATTTCAACTACTGCATTTCCCCTTTTTTTTATTTAAAATTTTTGTTATTGCCAATATTAATCAAGACATAAGAAGGTAGGATTGACAAATGTGGAATGTATGCTCTTTATATATAATGTGTTTATATGAAGCAACATATGAAAGATTCTGATTGTTTCTTAAACATTTCTTCTTTTTATTCTTAGAATTGCCCTGATATGTTCAGACCTAAAACTGAGTCAGGCATCTTTGTATCATGAGAAAGCTGCTGGAGAAGCATACATTAGTGAATTAGAACAAGCAATGTATGTATTTTCACTACAGAGGCTGTATTTAGTTGGGTTTTTTAGTTGGGGTTTTTTTCCCTACAATGTTGTTGGGGGGAAAAAATTATTAAAACCCATGATCTCTACAGGGCAAATTTGGTATATTAGCTGTGCCCTAAAATTCTGTGCATGATTGTTTTGTATCTATCCACAGAGTGAGTGTATGGTGAAGATGCCTAACTCATTAATACTTCATTATGAAATACTTTTAAAATATTCTTGAATTTACTTTTTCTTTCTTGTGTTTTAGGTGTAGGCAAGAGATTGCACTGAAAAAAGAAAAAAAAGTACATACTAAGACAGAAGAAAGAAAAACATTTTTTGAAAATGCTCGGCTGAATGGTAGTAGGGATGAGAATAATATCCTTACTTCAAGTGAAAAGGTTTTATTTCTACTCCAGTTTCTTTAATAAATTACTCTTCACTTTTTGTTTTAATATACTTGCTAGTTTGTTTTTAAATAATTTTATACTTAAGAAATACATGAACACAAAAAATCATTAAAAATGCGTACTACTTAAATTCTGCTGGCAGGCATCAGCTGAATGTGAGCTGGGTTTGCCTGGCATATTATTTGTATTGTGGAACAACAAAAATAGAATCTGTATTCATACAAAGTAAAACTACTTTTCTACAAATGGAATTTGGGATTAATGCAAATCAATGGAAAAGACTGAGAAGCAAAAAAGACATTGTATTTACTCTTGGTCTCAATTTTTTCTTCTTCCTCTCTCCATTACATCACTACATACTGTCTTGCTCCCTCTTATACATTGTTTTAAAGGCATGCAAATATTTCAGCTCTGTCTTTCTGTCTCTTCCTTACGAAGATAATTGCCTTACTGATATTCTTAAAGCTTACCTCCACTTTCCTCTTTATTACGGCAATTCTGTCCTTGTTTTCATCACATCATTTTGCTCCCTTTGTATATTTTTCCATTCTTGTGCATGTAAAATATCTTTTTTTCTAATTACTAATCCCTCTCAAGTCACCTCTTCTAGCTTTTGCAAAGTTTTTCGCTTTGATTGTTTTAGTTATCACCAAGAATCAACTTCTTCACGACAGTAGCAGATCTGAAGTAGTTAATCTGTTCTAAAATTAGTTTTAATAGTATATACTTAGTTGAATGCCTTTTGAGGATTATAAAATCCAAATCTCACAGTAAACCTGTTTTTCCTGTAATATAACGTTGAATTTCGAAGTTAGAAAATAGAGCTGGACTGTGGGTTATATCAAGAATTGAATATGATAGTTAATAACAATTTGTATTCCATCTAGTTTTTTTGAAATTTATGAAGGTGTAATATTTTGTTATTTTTCAGTTTTTTGAGTTAAATGCGGTAACAGGAAAGGGACTGAGTGCACTTTCTTTCCCTTACTTGTGGATGGAAAAAGCTGAAGTACTAATTCAGCTAGGCTTGTATCAACCAGCAAGACTTCTGCTTTCAGAGGCCCATGCTGCAACTCAGGTACATCAGAAATAAAATAGAAAAAGGAAAATTAATAAAAGGTAGAGGAAAAATGTTCATTTTGATGCAGGTCGTTCCTAATAATAATAATAATAATAATAATAATAAAATTGCAAAACCAAACCTTCCCCCCCCGCCCCAAACCTATGTCATTTCAGTTTCAACATATATAAGGTGTACATTTAAATGTATGGCACTGTCCAACTTTATGGGAATTGTCCAAAGATTATTTCAACTTGTGAAGTAGTGTCAGCATCTCTGCTTTGCAGTGACCTTGGAAGATGTATGTATATCCAAACCTTGTTTGTTAAAATAGTTAGGGACATTCAAGATTTGCTTATAAGAGAGAGTGAGCATTTAGCTCCATCCTCTCAACATTCTGATCATTTGAAAGTCTAGTTATATCATTTTGAATTTGTTTTGGTTTTACTGTGTTTTGATAAACAGCCACTGACACTGAAATTATGACTTAGAATTCTGGCAAATCTGAAATAAGTGCCTGTATGTTCCACCAAACAAATCCACATCGCCTCATTATTATGAAGGGTTTACATTAAAGATATTCTTCCTATATCTACCGTTCTCCATTATAGCTCTCTTCGTGGTTATACGGGTTACTGAAACATAATTATTGCAATAAATCCTTTACTTTCAAAAAAATGTAATTGTTATCCTGTTATTCCACATAATAATTTTTCTCATGTAAGTAAAAACTGCCTATGTATATTTAGCATGGATCATGAATACTTTGAATAATAATATATGAATAAAATATTCATTAATAATATATGTCTCTTATTAAAGCATGAATTTAGTATTGTACATTGGGAAAAGTTCAAAAGACATTAGGGAGGACAATAATTTAATGATATAATTGCTTACTAGTATCCTGTATGTCTGTATGCTAGCATACTATCTATACTGTACACTATATTTGTCTCTTGTATACTACTAGTATATCGCTTATAACTAGCATAAAGTAGCATTGTAAATTTACTGGAGCTCTAGTGTATCTAGATCCCAGTTCACTAAAAAATTTGTCATCACGACATTTCTTCATCAGATACTGACAAATGATAGCAGATATATACATACTAAATAATAGCAGAAAAATAGCTTATTTGACTTGTGGGGTAGAAGATAAGGGAACATAAAGAAATATAAAGTATATTTGAAGATCTGAAGTTCTTGATATGAAGTAGACACTTTATGTTTTTGAAAAAAAAACAAAGTAATATAAGGAGTAACTAAGAAATTCTACAGATAATTAAGGAAATACCATTCGCTTCTTATTTCTGTGCCTGTTCGTAAGTTTAATCTAAAATACGAATAGAAGTAAATATGAATAGCGGTAGTAGGTCTTTTGTATATAGGTCACATATCTTTCTTCCTAGGAATTGAGGGCCCTGTACGATGTGTCAAGGTGCTTGTACTTATTTGCTGTGTTGGCTAATCTGGAAAGAAACCACGGACAAGCTAAAGCACTCCTTGAGAAAGCACAGCTTCTAGGAGGAAATGAACAGTTTTGGTACAACAGTACTCTTAGTCTAATAGAAGCAATTCTTGAGGAAGAGGGGGAAGGAAAACAGAGCATGGTAAGGAATTTTTTTGGGTTTGGTGGTTGTTTTTTTTTGCAGCAGTGGTGCCTCTCTTTCAGTGAAGAGAAATGTTACAGCCTTTGCATTTCAATAAAAGCAAAAATAGGTGTTAAATGCAGTTAGTGTTGTTTTCTCTGTTGTGCATTCAACAAATATTAATTACAGATTCTAAACAGATGCAGGCCAGTAGGAATGAGATTTTACCCACAGAAGTTTAGGATGTTTTTATGATAAGCTGTATATCCTTCTATTGAAATAAGAGCAATTGTAATCTAGTATGTGTAACTAAATCCCAGAGATCTGATTCTCTTGGTTAGAATGCTTTTGTACTCAGACAATTCTGTTAACACTGCTGTGTTTATTTTCCATATTTAATGAAGATTATAACTTTCAATATTATTTCCTAGTATGCACTTCCTTTTCAAATATTTCAAATAGTTTTACAAATATTATTTCTAGATTCTGAAAGATACTACTGTAAGTATAATATATATGTTTATTAAAAACCTTTTCCTATTTGACCCTTAACATTAAAATATCCATTTACTGTTCAACCCTTAACTTTCATGAGTTTCAGCATAAATACAATGCTGTTGTGTCTGTGATGATCTGTCCTTTATTGATAATCTGTGTGAGTCTGTTTTGTATAGGGGGATTATTTTAATTTGGGCTGAACTCACATTTACAATCATTGAAGGACAAAATACCTGGTTACCAGTGAGAGTATTTACTAAGGTTTTACCAGTATAGCTATTAATGATTTGTGTGAGGTGGGTTTTTTTTTTCCTTTACATGTCTGACCAACATGAATGCAGCAGCAAAATTTTTTAATAAGGACAAATCGGTAGATGAGGCTTTGAGTATCATCTAAGGGCTTTTTCATTCAAAACTATTAGTTGGGGACTTCTTTTACATCCCCAGGTGGCAAAACTATAATAGTGTAAGGTTTACTTGTGGATTAATACGCTAGTCGGTGTAAGTAAGCATGCAGGAATCTGTCCCTAAGAGGATGCCAGTGAAATATAGAATCAAATGACTATTTAGGTTAGAGGTCATCTGGTCTAACCCCAGGTAAAAAGGGGCAATTTTGAAGTGAAATCTGACCTTACTGTTGAATCAAGTTGCTCACTTTTCAAATATCTCCAAGAATGGAAATTCCACAACCTTTCTGGGCCCTTGTTACCAAAAAAAACCAAAAAAGTGACTATGAAGATTGCCAAACACTGGAACATCTGTTTAGAATTCCCCTTTTTCCAAATTGGGTCTGTTGCCCCTCGTTCTTTTGCTGTGTATCTCTAAGATGAGTCTGGCTCCATCGTCTCTCCTTGTGTGTATGTGCTCCATTCACTTAATCATATCAAAGTATCTAAATATGATCATAACTCATACTTTCTAGAATTATATACAGTTGTCAAGAATCAGTCATCTTGGGGAATATTAGGGAAAGATACTTAACACGTTCTGCACAAAATTTAAGCTTTCTGAATTCATGTTTAATATTAGACATTTTGAAAAGAATTACGAAATTTCTGATGTTACCTGCAGGCTTGTGAGATACTGGAACACACTGTAAATGTGCTCAGATCTACTTTACTGAAGAGACCTAACAGACAATCAGAGTTGGGTTTTATAATTGCATCCCTTGAAGCCAGGTAACGGTCTTTTCATTAAAATATGCCCAGCCTCTACTATGCAGCTACATTGCAAATACATGGTGATTTTTTCCATTCATCTTTTCTTTAGTATGGTGCATTCTGTGGATTCTCAAATATTTTTCTTCTAAGTAATCCATGGTTTGGGGTTTTTTTAAATTTAGATTTCCGTTCCAATTTCTTCATTCTTAGATGTAGCCCTGCTACCCGTTAAGTTAGTAAGCTAGTTCAGATACCACAACCTATTGTGCATAGTTTCTGGTAGAGGTTACCCAAAGGAGCAAGATACATTTGCCTATGCAGAGGTATCTGTTTGAGCACAGATATTCCCACAACACTATTGTAGTCTGCAGTATTGACCTACTTCTCTCCTCACCATGATCCAAGAATTCTTTTTATGGTGAAACTAAACAATGATTTTGGTTGCATTGAAATCCAAGCACAGGGAGTTTAAAATGTGTTGGTGAAAGGAGAGAAGTATATAACATTTACACTTCCTTCTCCTTCCAGAAATGTGAAACTTTTGGGTTAGAAAGGGAAGACTAATAGTCTTCTCAGTTCAGCTGTATTTAGAAGACTGATTAGGCCTAGGCAGTTTGAATAATTAGATACATGGAACAAGTGACACATCAATTCTAATCTGAAAATACAGTATTTTGATTTTTTTCGGGACCTACTATAATTTGTAGACCACAGATTTAAAGAATGAAGAGGCTTTTGGTAGATTTCTTATAATTTAAAGGAGAGCAGAGAGAAGTAATGTCTGTTTTCAAACACAGCCTGTGCTGTCTGACTGCTATCTTGTACTTAATTTTTATTCCTAGGAAAACACTTATTCAGATACATTTTGCCCAAGATTGTATGACAATTAATGCTGAGTCTTGTCAGTTGCCACATACGCTACAGGAATCTTACAATAAATTAGTTCAAATTGAGAAGGACTTCTTTCATTATGGGCATAAAAACTGCAGCGCTGAGGTACTGCTAGAATGTGCAAATATTCACAGGTAAGATTATACCTCTGATGAAAAATTTTATTTAACTGGTCCACGGAGTGTATTGTTTACATTTTTATAGTCTAATTAAAGATGGAAAAGAGAAGATAATATTGTCAGGTTTTATATCTTGGTGTTACACATCTATTTGCATTCTTGATGTGTTCTGTATTCAGAAAAATAGTGCAGAATCAAAAATTCTTTTCACTGAAGGCAGAGTTAATCTTACATGCTACTAGTCATTTTTGTACTGTTTTTGAGGTCAAAACAAAGTATCAAGGTCTCTAAGTCAGCTTTTTGTCTTCCCATTTGTAACGGCATTTTGGCAGCCACACCAATCATTCTCAAGTATTTATAGGCTTTTACAATTCTTACTGTTGAAATGGTTCTCTAGAAATTGCTGTAATAGCAAAAATGCAAAACACGGTGACTTGACTCCCAGCTGTTTCCAAGATGTCCCCTTAAAACGACTGAGATATGTTTTGTACCTGGCTATTCTGCCATTTTGTTCCTGGTGAATACATACTCTAGAATTTTCTGACTTTCTTCTCTTTGTGTCTTGGCATCTTGTTGCATTGCAGCAGTACAGTTCCAAGAAAAGACCTTGAAAAAAATAATGTGTTGAATGTTCACTTTTCCTATTAAAACATTTAGAAAACACATGTACAAAATTAATCTATTTTATCTATTAATTTATCTATTTAATCTATTAATCTAATCAATTAATCTAATTATTTTATTATATATGTTCAAGAGTGTTGATACCATAAAAATCTACACTCTCTTACCTTAGTTCCTTTGGGTTTATGTTTTGTTTTTTCAGGATGATTGCCAAGCAGGAAAGAAACGAACAAGAAAAACATAGTCACTATCTAGATGCTTATGACTTAGCTCAAAGGGCAGTATCCAAAACAGAGGAAGTGTTTCATAATGTTTGCAGCTTATTTGCAGTTAATGAGGTATGGCGATATATATATATTTTCCTACTCATGGAAAATAAATCTGGTTTAGTTGTACTATTCACTCATTTTTGGATAATTCCTGGAAGCCCCAAATGAGATTATCTTCCTGTAGTGATAAGCATTGTTTGAATATAGAAGGAAATGTTGCATGCCAAAAGAATTTACAGTTTAAAAGGGAAGAAGAGAAGCAGAAATAAGAAGATTTGTTTGGTCTTTGTCAATTTTATTTAATTCTAAAATTTATCAATCGCTACAAAAGGAAAGGTCTAAACTTGGAGATACTTTTGATTCTCTAAATACCTCACGAGTTTAAAATTCTCCACAATAAAGTGTTTATTTCTCAGACGGAAAAAAAAAGGTTACACAGAACGTTATGTAAATAAAGAAAGCCTGTCTTCAAAATTGCATATTTTGGGTAATGAAAGCCTGCAGCCTACTTTGCTAGTGTGTACCATTATTATAGTCTAGCATCCAGCTTTTTTTCTGCTTTGCCTTTTTTAAAGAGCAAGGATTTTTGTGCAGCTACCAAAACCATTAATATTAAAATCCTGGTTTTATGTACACATTTGTACCTCCTTTGGCATTAGATATTTGTACCAGGTACATAAAATGTGTAAAGCAAAAACCCAGCTGCTCTTTTTCTATGCAGCTACTTTGATTCTTTAAAATACATTTGACATTGAAGTTTATCCTTTAAATTACTTAAGTATCTTCATAGCAATCTCTCTGGTCTATTGAGGTGATATTGTTAAAATGTTTGCTTCTTTATTTAAAAGAAATACAACATTCTAACTTCTTAACAGGTAAATTTGCAAAAATATTTGAAATTAGAATTCTACTTTCTTTTATATTTCAGACTACAAATATTAGTATCCCATTAATGAGGCAACTAGCTAACAGGAAGATAAATCTTGTAGAAATTCTTTTGGATATTTTTCATCTTGTTATTACTGAGAAAAAGCTTAAAAAGGTGGGAGAAGCATCGTCTCATACTTCTTAACAGGTAAATTTGCAAAAATATTTGAAATTAGAATTCTACTTTCTTTTATATTTCAGACTACAAATATTAGTATCCCATTAATGAGGCAACTAGCTAACAGGAAGATAAATCTTGTAGAAATTCTTTTGGATATTTTTCATCTTGTTATTACTGAGAAAAAGCTTAAAAAGGTGGGAGAAGCATCGTCTCATAGAATTGTGGAGGCATTCATCAGGGGAACTAGAAGATGATGCAGCAGAACAGGTAATACAAAAGATTTAGTCCTATGATTTACATATAAAAGGTATAACAAAGTTTCCCAGGGATGTTTTCCATAGCAGAACTTCTTCCACTACTGAGGAAATGGGTCCCCAGACCATTCATGTAGTTTTGCAGCAAAGAAAGTTCAAGCGTGTGGTTTTTGTCTTGGGGATGGTTTATTGGGGTTGTTTTTGTTTTTTCTCTGAAAGATTTTGTTTCTCAGATGCAGAGACTTAAAAACCACTAAGAGTAGCAGGGAAATTACTTGAGGCTTTATAATTGACAGGGAGGTTTTTTGCATTATTGTCTCTTCTTTTTAAAACAGTTGGTTTTAAGCAGAACTGCCTAACTGAGCTGATGAATAAGAACATAAGACATGCCCCACTAGAACAAAGCAGTAATTCTTGCCCCTTATTCTGTCTCTGACAATGACAATAGGAAATGCTGTTACAGCAAAGCACAGTATCCCCACCATTCTCCTCGGTACCCTCCCCTTATCTCATGTTTTCCTCAGCACTGATTGTTGTTTGCTTATGGATATTACAGGTTTTTTTATCAATTATTAATTAATTTGTATATCTGTTAAAGACAGCTTGTTTGTAGTTGAAAGTGTAATCACATTTAACAAATGTGTTTGTATGTAAATATGTTATGTTTTTTTTAAAAAGTATGTTTCTGTATGTGTGGGTATATATGAGCAAATAAACATAAATATGTATTTTACCAGGATTGGAAGCATATGGAATGCACTGTGAGTCATATTGCACTGGCCCAGTTAGCAAACGTACAGAATCTTTGTAAAGGCTGTCCTGACATCAAATCCAAATGCCTATATCTCACTGGAAAAACTCTTCATTTACTTGCCATTAACGTAGATCCTGTACATTCAGAGATTTATTGGAAGCCAGATGTTATGGTATGCATTCTTTTCTGCATTTAAATTCGTTCCTATGTGTAAAGTTTGTCTGTCACAATATTTTTTCTGCATACATTTATATAATACTACTCTTTATTTAGAGCTTGGTTTTATGTATTGCATGCAAGCCATAATAAAAATATATACTGACCGAAGTAATTTCAGAAAAATGCTTCTGCCTTACATGCCATTCTCATGTAGATAATTTTTTGATTCTTTCCTGAGATGTGCTAATTACAATATTTTCAAAAGGGACAGAAAAAAAATTCCTTGAATGCCTTAAAGGGCTAGGTACGTTGGTCTCTGTATCCATGCAAACAAGAAGTAATGACTTGTAGCTTAAAAGGTCAGATTCGTAAGTTCCTTTTGTGTTGTAGTAAGAACACCATGTAAGAAAAGGAAAGTTGATTGAGTCATTATAAATTCAGTGATGAATTAAAGTGTTCAGAAGAAATTAACTGAGGACAAATATCAGAAAATCAAAATCTTAGAGGTTGTATGGTGGGCCTTTTTAGTTTCTATTAGTCATATTGTCATCATAACATATTAAGAAATTTTGATGCCTGGTAATATTGCTAAATCTCTCACCATCAAGTGATTCACATAGTGAGATGATTTCTTTTAAGATGAGTTCCATTTTCACTTAGACTTTCACAAAAGAAATGAAGCCAGCCATACTTAATGGAATGATTAATTATTCTTTTTTTTATACTGTGATGAGCAGGAAGAAGCTAAATCAGACATCACAAAAACTTTCCTGACTTCAGCAGGTTGCAGTGAACAGGAAGTGACAGACAGCAGATTACCGACTAATAAATGTCAATATGATAAGTATAGGAGGAAAATACAGGAATTAAAGGTATATTAGCGTATGTGCTTGCATTAGAATTTGAGTGCTTCCTTTTTATGGAATAGTAGTCACCTTACCTTATCAGTTCTGTTTGAACTGATAATGTTCAACTGATAATGAAATGTTTGTAACATAAATTTGATCTTACAAAAGAAAAAACATCTCCAAAACAACCCCCAAAAACCCAGCTTTCCATCACTACTCTGCTGTGTATCTCTGTCCTGCCCCTCAATACGTGCTGTGGGAGCTCCTGATTGAGCTTTCCCAGTTGCTCCCAGAAAGAAATAATTTCTCCTTCCATGGGTCCCCCCCTGATGGAGCATGTAGCAGCCACAACAACGTGAACAGGCAGCTTTCTCTCTGCTTCACAGACATGCCTTTCTAAGGGAGCATAACATTTTGCAGACTGGGAACAAAGAAATAAATAACTTCTATCACAAAACATTTGTAAAATTCTTACAAAATTTAAGTTGTATTGCATGGTGAACTGATCTCTGTTAACTACTGCAGTTCAAAGCACACTAGGAATTGGGAATGTGCAGTTTGTGTTGCTACTATAATCAATAAATACCTGAGATAAGAGATTTGTGGGTTTATTTGTATTAAATATAGTCAACTGTCAATGGAAACAACTGTACTGAGACTTGACAGAAAATCCCTTTGTTCTGAATGGCTCATATTGCCTGGAATTTAAATACTTTTCTGCTAAGTGCACATTTCATATTAAAGAAAATATCTTATTAAAACATACATTTTTTAATGCTGTATAACAGATGTTGGTGTCTGCTAAATAATCTGTATTTGCATATTTGGATCATACATTAAGTAAATGCCTTAAAAAGGAGAAAAAGCATTAAAATTAGTCATGAAAAAGTAATACTGATCTTTTCTAACACACTAGTAATCTGTATATGTCTAACAAATATTTAATATTAATACATATTTTAATACAAACCATTTTATTTTTATCATCTAGAAGGAACATAGGTTGGCTCAGAAATATCTTTCTCAATCCAGTGAAGCTTTGCTACAGTGTATGGGTATTGCATTCAGTCATGATATTACTGATGTACTGGCTCCTGCTAGTTTTGAAATGGTTGAATGCTTTCGACAATTCGATCCAGTTTCAACGAGCCAGTTCTTGGCACTTCATCAGGTAATGAAGCTAACGTATTGTGCTTCTTTCCAGTATAAAAAGGGTGTTTTAAGTTACATAAGCAAAAATGTCTATTCATATAGCCTGAAAATTTGTCATACAGAACACAATGTATGAATACATATAAGAATTAGCGAGTAATACAGGTAACCAAATACATATGTTTGCTGAGTTCAAAATGTTTGATCAGTGGCTTTTTAAGAATTCTAGTATCTGTTGTGTTTGACTTGATGTTTTCCCTGATGATTGCATACATGAAAAGATTTTAATATGAATAAATTACTTAATGTGATTAGCTAAGATAAGACATTACCACAAAATACAGTTTCATCCTTCCCTAACAAATAGTTTTTAAAATGTTTCTCTGGATTTGTTCATTCATTATTTTGAAGTAGATAGGAAAGGTTTACATTCAGTTCATCAAATCAACACCTACACAGCATGGTCGCATAGATGGCTCGAAGGTGTATGAATCATTCATGTGAGTATGTGCCTTCATCACAGAGAAGATGAGGAATGGCTACATCAGGAGCAAATAATACATACTTCCTACACCATCATCTCCGTTGTAGAAATACAGAAATGCACCTTATACTAGTTTCCTTCCTGCCACATCGAGGCAATCACAGGAAATTACGACAGACAGTAAGCACCTGCCTCTGTGTCAACACTTAGATTTGCAAATATCTCCACCCATGGGTGGAATGGACTAGGTAGGTCTTTTGAGAAAACAGCTAATACTGGGTTTCGTGGGTGGAATGGACTAGGTAGGTCTTTTGATAAATCAGAAAACAGCTAACACTGGGTTTCATTGTTCAGTCCTTTATTCCTGTACTCCTGCAGCACACCATATTATTTATGGTTTGCTGTCATACTTAGTGAACAAGCTAAGTAGAATGCATATCAAGGCACCAAAACCATGAGTAGTCATGTCTTTTACTGGGCAAAAAATTCTGCTAATTTAGTTACTATCCTGCCCAGAAAGGTTTGTATTTAAAAAAAAAAAAAGTTTAAAATGTCACTCCACATCAATATTAAGCCTCCCTTTGGAATTTTTGATTAGGTCAACCTGAATTGCATTTTTTTAATGTGACAGCTGCATTAAAAGAAAAAAAAATGCTTTAGCTCTTAGCAAGCATCGGTTCAAAGGACGGGGTTGGCATGTTTGCTGAAAGAAAAGGATATAAAGTCTTACCCTTTATATTGCTCTTTGTAGTAGGTCTGTTAAAATGTGTGATGTGATGGCTATACAGTAAAAGGCACAGAAACAGAGAAAAGACTCAGCTTACTTGAAAGGCTAAGTTCAGAACACAGGCATTTACCTTTCCATGTAGACCTTAGATGACTAAATGCAGGAACATAGATGATAAATGTAGACAAAGAAGTCAATTCTAGCTATTCATATTTAAGAAATCTTCGTAAGTTATTACCAGACTATTTACATTAGATTGTAAACACAAATAGCAGACAGGGTTTTGCTAATCCATCTCACCTTTCAAACAAGGGACTTTAACATACATACATGTTATAACAAACATAGAGTATATATGTATTTATATTATTTTGGAAGAGAAAATAAATAGATATAAAAATTTTACAGAGCTGTTCAGCGTCTATGATGATGAAGAGTATCCTTCTAACAGCTACATCTAACACCAGCAGCTCTCAGCTGGCAGCATTACTGCATCTTCAGAATCATTTAAAACAAAACAGAAACACAAGTGATCTTCTAAAAAATGTGGAACAGCAACTGACTGCTACTTCAATGGTAACTTTTTGAGATGTGCCACTTATTAGGGGTTTATATGTATGTTATATAAATACACACAGAGACACGTATATATACGTATACATACATATATACACACACATGCACAGATATATATAATTTCAGTTATTCCTGGAATGAAATAATATTCCACCTGTTTTCTTTAAACTCTATTAACTTTTTTGTTTTCTTAATTTGAGTCATGGGTTGACTTGGTCATGAATCGAAATACATTTTTATTAGTATGGTATGTACTGTCTGTGGTTTTGTTTATGCTAGGTTATCTGTATGGCATGAGCTACATAATTTAAGTCAGAAGTGAGATTCTAAGGATGCAATTCCAGTTTGTCTTACAGTTACAATTTGGTGTAGCTGGATGTCAGAGTTGTGCTGTCTGCACACCTAAATCATTAATTCCTTGTGAGTCTCGTGCAATCCAGCTGAAGATGCCATTGAAAAGGACACTTGCAACAGAGACTCCTGCCACCGTCTGGACAGCATCCAGTCATCCTGTTTGAGATACTCAGGTCCCCATGCAAGTGTTACCCTATGAAAAGAGCCTGATTTTTTTTTTTTTTTTTTTTCTTAACAAATACTCTATCCATGAGTCTGGGCATCAACTAAACTGTGGTGTTGCAAACTGGATATTTAAACCAACCAGTAAAATGTAATTCATAGTTCTGGAGCAAATAATGGATAAACTTTTCTGGGAGATAAATACTCTGTCTTTCGGTCTAAGCTGGCTGAGAACTGCGTATTCTTCAAATGTCTGAGATTTAAAAGTGAATACCAAAACTAAGATTGGAAGACCCTAGGTTAGAAATGAATGAAATTAAAAACTGCCAGTGAGTGAGATACAAAGGATTAGCTGTAGCTGGCAGGGTTTAAGCATTTACAAAATGTGGCAAGCAGAGATACAGTACAGGATAAGAAAAGTATGTGTTTGTAGGCTACTGTTTTGGCTTTTCTCTGTATGTGCTGTATTATCTTATTTAGCAGAAGGAATAGGATAATACTTTGTTTAGAAGCCACTGTTTCTGAGTTGCTGTAATTGTCTAACTGGTAACAGATACCCTAGCTGAAAATATTCATCAATGCCCACCATGTCTGTGCCTGTTGCAGTAGCTCAGGAAAGAAAAGGTGGCAATCAAGACGTTTGTTCATGGCTGCATTCTTGAACTGCATGATTCCAGGCAGCGTGAGATGAAAGAAATCAAAGTGGTCACTGAAGTAGTTCTCTCTGAGGGTCTATTAGTGTTTTTTAAAATTCAGTTGAGATTTTTAGTTCAGATCAGGAATGCACTTTGAAAGTGAATCTCCCAATTGTCCTTGCGTACAGTGCTTTGCTTTGTGTCGTGGTACAATGACTGTATGAGCTGGGTTTCTCTCAGACAAAAACTGAACAGGTTTCTCTGATGCACTCAAGCCACATTGAGTGGGCATTCAGTCCAGGGGGCCAGTCCAGAAGTACTCTGAAGTAAAAGTCAATGAAAAGTGCACAGTGTATAATTCTGCTCCTGGTGATCTGTACCACTTGATAATGTAGGTATACCCAGAGTGTACCCAGTGTGCTTAAGCACATAAAACTTCAATCTGAAAAACACATAAACACACATGTTTAAAGGCAGCAGTCTCAAAAAAACATTTATGGTCCTCTACTAGGACCAGTTTTTCACCTGGAGTCAGACTCCTTAGTCACTAGGAGGTAATTCTGCTCCTGGTGATCTGTACCACTTGATAATGTAGGTATACCCAGAGTGTACCCAGTGTGCTTAAGCACATAAAACTTCAATCTGAAAAACACATAAACACACATGTTTAAAGGCAGCAGTCTCAAAAAAACATTTATGGTCCTCTACTAGGACCAGTTTTTCACCTGGAGTCAGACTCCTTAGTCATTAGGAGGTTTTTGGTTGGTTTTGGTTGTATTTCCTCAAAAAGGGTTGTATATTATTTAGTAATATATTTTTGTGGTGGGTTGACCTTGGCTGGTTGCCAGGTGCCCAGCAAGCTGCTCTGTCACTCCCCCTCCTCAACAGGACAGGGGAGAAAATACAATGAAAAACTCATGGGTCAAGATACGGACAGGGCTATCAGTCATCCATTACTGTCACAGGCAAAACAGAGCCAACTTGGGGAAATTAATTTATTGCCAATTAATAACAGAGTAGGATAGCAAAAAATAAAAACAAAACTAAAAAAGATCTTCTCCCCCTTAAATCCTGTTGTTTGTACAGAGCATCCTGTCCTGGCACATCTGCTGAGTGTTTTGGCTTTTTAAAATTATATTATTATATTATATTAATTATATATATGAAAGAACTGAGATTGGGGTATATAAAATCTATGAAAATAATGCTACTTTTGAATTATTGTACAGGCATGGAGAAATCTCTGTGTTCCTGTTGAACATTTTAATATAATGGATGAATTGCCATCTGATTTCTGCATAATTATTCTCCAACATTCAGAAGACAGGTATAAAATTCAATCATTTTGATTTAGCATTCTGTTTGTTATGAAAGTCATCTTTTTTTACCTGTAAACGATCACTATTTTGGTTGTTTATTGCCTTTTACTTCTAATTTTGCTGGACTTGAATTTTAGGATAGTGAACAAATTAATACGTAAATAAAACTGCCTGCAGCTCAAAGCTCTACGTTTTTCTGTACTTTTGATTTCCTTAATTATCTCTTAAAAGTTTCAGGCCATTCTGTTAATAGTTTCCAGCTCTTATTGCTTATGCTCTTGAAAATGTTAGGAGGGGTCATATTTAGCTTTAAAAAGCCACAAATGATCTCATTACTGCAGCCTAATTAGCGATGACTCATAAATTGAGCTACAGCAACTGACTATGAGTACCTTCACCAGTTGTGAAAAGTCTTAAAAAATTGTCATGGAACAAATAAAAATCTACCTTACTGGATATATAGCAATGAAACACCTTTCCTTACAGCTCTCAGTTTGTTCCAGTTAGATTTTCTAGGTTTTGCACCCCAAGGTGAGGGTAAATACTGCATCTTGAGAGTATTTGTGAGCACATTAAATTAGAGGGTAATAATTACTCATCTAATAAATTTGCTTCATAGAAACAAGGCTGAGCAGTCAAATAATATACTCAGCATTTTTCTGCTTTCCCATAGATCAAATTTGTACAGTTCATTGATTGACATGCCAAAAGTAAGTACTGCACAGCAAAAAGGAAAACCCACTCAGCCAATGGGTAAGTGCCTCTTACATTTAAGAGATAAAAATCATTGCACTGGTGTTATGAGAAGGTTCATATCTTTCACTGTTGCAGTCAGTAAAATTTTAAAATAATTTTTAAAATAATTGTAACTTATTAATACCAGAGGAAAGTAAGTACCTAAATACATGTGTTTCATTATCAGATACAATGTATCTAGTCACTATTTACAGAAATTTTGTTTATATTTGAAGGCTAAATTTGTTAAAAATAAATAATTGTAGAGTTTTTTTCATTGTACATTTCTGTATATATTTTGTGCTGAATATATAAACAGTTACTTCATTTTCAAAGAATACCGTGGCTTTAGAAACTGATGATTTCTGTACAGTCATTTCTTCAAGTACAAATATGATGTCTCAAAAAGAGTTTTAAGATGGTGTTATCCTCCTTTTAATAGTGCAAGCTAAAGTTTCTCGATTTCCTGTGAATCCTGATACATTTAGTATTTTGTTGGAAAAAGTGCATCTTTACAAGCAGCAAAAGATGAAGAGTCATCTTAAACAGACTGTCATTCAAAACTTGCAAGAGTGTGTCTCCAAAACAGATGTGGTAATATATTTGATTACCTTATATTTAAAATAGGGTGAAAAACATGTACTAAAAAACTATCATAAACATTCTGTATGCAGAATTTTCTGTTTATTCCAAGTGTGATATCTCTAGTCTTCACAGTTGCTAAATACTGTGTATTCTGCTTCAAAATTTAATCTTACTGTTATTCTGTTACAGTTTTCAATGTCATTCAGCAGCTTTGAAACGTTCAGTAGTTTATCAGAATTGAAAATTGATGCAGTTGAGATCGGTTTACTTGAAAATGTGCTGAACCTCTAAGATCTGCATTTGCAGATGTACATTGCCTTTCATATCACATGAAAGACCCAGCTGTCCCAAGGAAAAAAAATGGGATTATAGATCTCAACCCTTTAATCAAAATAAAACTATCTTAGCCAGAGATTTATTACTGATTTCCAACACAGAAAAGTTTCTTTCTAGGGCAATATCTTTTGCGCTATAGGTGTTTATTTGGACGCAGTTGATCCAAGTCTGTTAGTCACAAAATTTTGCTTGATGGACACATCTCATTGGAATTCCAAGTTTGTAGCTATGAACACTCTTAAATTCTAGATGATAAAAGTTTTCTGTTACTGCAAGAAGGCTCATTTCTATAAGGACATTGTTTTTCACAATCAGTGAACACATGTGTAGCATAAAGGTACACTGGAAAAGCCTGTGACTTTCACATAAGCTTTTAAGCTGCAAGGTGACAGAAAGTTTTCTACATGTGAAATGTGCAAGTCTACATCCTAGCACTCTAATTTACTTTAATTTTGGCTGCCTTAGATAAAATTTAGGTTTTTCGATATCAATCAAAATTAACTGTTAAAATATAGCATATTAACAAAAGCTGGTAAAGGCCTATTTCCATCATTAATATAAAGGTAAAAAATATAGATCATACTGAATTTTCTGTACAAGTTTTCTTTGTTTAAATCACACAACTTTGACACATCTGGTTCTTGAATTATAATTCTGTTTTATTCATCATGTTAGCTTCTTTCAGTTAAAATACTGATTATTGCAGATGGTTGAAGTGTTGATCACTTTTTCTCTTGTCCATGGCCAGCCTTTGTTGTAATGGCAAGTTACATAGATTGCGGTAGTTGCATAAGTAAAGAAAAAGGTGATAAGATAATGTCAGGTAGAACAGACGAAAAAAAAAGTGGCTTAGGTTTTTAAAATGCATGTGCATTACAACTTTCGATAATTATGCATGCAACCTGCACAGAGCCACACAAAGAGAGCTTTGGGTGAGAAGTCCATTCATTAATACCAACACTCTGCCATTTAGTTGAGCTCGTTTTTCCAGTTAGTGTTTTTGTGTCCATCTGTATTGGCTTTTAAGAGCTTGAGTTTTTAGTGTCATCTTCTCCTACATGTTTCTATTCTCTCCTTACCTATTTTCTTAATTCTGTTTAGTTTTTTCCTAAATTGGCTCCACTGATCTCTCCATACACTTTCATTTGCTTCTTCTACATTCATCTTGCAGTTTCTGTTTACTTCTCAAAGTTGTCCTTTCACAATTTCTTCCTGTGATTTGGATCGCCACATTATCTTTTCTTTCTGCTGGACTTCCCTGCCGTTCCCCATTAAAATTGCAGAAGTATATTAATTGCTTAAATAACAAATATGGACATCTTGTACATACAAGATTACACTGTTACTGATTACTGATTGTTAGAATATTTTGCAAAATGCTGATAGGAGTGATGTTTTGAAGTAAAGTAGTTTTGGAACTGACTTTCTATATTTATATTTTCCATTTTATGATGTTTCAAATTATTTGATTTAGCCTCTGATTTAACTTAATACATCCTCCATCCTTGTTAAATAGCATTTTGTAAGTATTCTGTTTTTTGTTGCAATGTGTGTGATAGACTCCAACAGAGAAAATAGATGATTATGGACATGATTTGACATCAGATTTCTCAGAAATATTAGAAATTATGGAAGAATATCTGAAACCGGTGCTGTCACAGTTTGATTTTTCTGATATCAGGTAAGACATTTAGACTTGTTTTATCATCATTCATGAAAATAGAATGGTGACTCAAGTCCTACAAATACAGGAATGGTTTTAGCAAGAATAGACCCTGTTGAATGAACTTTTACATCTTGAAAGACAGTATATGCAGGATATGCAAGACTAAGAGGATTGAACCATATGATAGACTAATGGCCATCTTTAACAAGCACTGTTCTCCAGCTTAAGTTATACAATATTGAGTTCAAGATGAAACATTGTAATTTAACTAGTTAAGGATTTCCAAAGGACAGGGACTCCAAAGGGAGTACATCCTTTGTGTAAAATTTCACTGAGATTGAAGCAGTTTTGTCTTTGTGTTTCTTGTGAAAACTTTTACTTACATAAGTATTAGTGCTGGTAATATTTTCACTGTAATTCCTTTTCCCAGAGAACAGAGCACATCAGTTTCAGCAGCTGAATCAGGAAAAATAAAAGTGAAAGACAAGGACACCAAACACACTAGAATGCGGGGTATGTGCTCTCTTGAGTACAATATATGTATATGTGTTTGTGTATGGACAGATACCAAAATCCTCTCATTTTAGTTTCAATTTTTTTGAAGCCAGGGAGAAGAAAAAGGCTTTAGCAATGGTTTTGTCTGTTTATTTTCTATATCAAGTCAAGTATTTTAGAATACTTCCAAAGAGATTATTCATACACTGGAAGGAGCTATCCTTCTGCATGTATTTACAGTCACAGAATCATAGAATAATAGAATCATTAAGGTTGGAAAAGACCTCTAAGATCATCAAGTCCAACCATCAACCCAACACCACCATGCCCACTAAACCATGTCCCTAAGCACCTCATCTACATGCTTTTAAATA